TCATGTCAATTATTCATTTATTTTATCATCTTAACCTATTGCCTGATGTGGCTCCACCATCGCACTCAAATGTTGTGTTGGTTATGGCTGCAAATGGGTTAATCATCCATCATTTGATTGACAACTACTTATTGAGGTGTTGCATGGCAATTTTACATGAAGAAAATTTTGGAAACAGCTCAGGTTGTGTTATTAACTTATATTAACTTATAAATGTCCTGGTGGAAATAACTTTCTTTTTCTTTTTGTTCCACATGTTAAATCTATCTACTAATGCATCAGTCACTTCATTTACAGGTTTTAACTGCATGCTTTCATCACCAGTTAACTGTTTTTTTTTCTTTTCAACCATCCATCTTTTTACAACTCATTTAGCAAGAGATGCCAATATCTACATGTATATACAGTCAAACCTGAACCATGAAGTACAGGGCTGGTTCAGTGCATTCTGCCAACGTGCTATGAAGATCAGTTACAAATATTTGAGTAAAGAGACTTTTTTTATGCAACCAAGTCTTTTATTCAGCTGACATTTTGGTGACCGTCTGTCACCTTCCTCAGGGCAATTCTGACTGGTTCACATTGCACTGCAGCACAGGTGTCGCTGCTATAGATGCATTCCCAAACGTACAATATTTCCATATCTACACATATGCGTGGTTACAGGGAACTATATACAGCAGTGACACCTGTGCTGCAGTGCAATGTGAACCAGTCAGAATTTCCCTGAGGAAGGTGACGGACAGTCACCAAAACATCGGCTTGGTTGTGTAAAAAGAGTCTCTTTACTCAGCGACTTACCGACCTGATGAAACTATTAGGGAGTGACAAATATTTCTTGTCCCACTCCTAGGTTGCTCCCTGAGGTGCTACGGTGGTGGTCGCTGTGTGATCCGCAGCGGGAAGCCACAGTGCCTGTGTCCCCACTGCCCAGACGGCGCCGCCACGGAGAGTGACAAGGTGTGTGGGTCGGACGGGATCGTGTACAAGAGCATGTGTGAGCTGAACGTGTTCTCCTGCCGCTACAGTCTGGACATCCACCGGGACAACAGCTGGGAGACTTGTAAAGGTATGGATATGTGTCGGGGTAGGGTTAGACGTGTATGTCTGTGTAGATGGGGCTGGTACCATGGACGGCTTTATGTGGCTGTTGTTCAGCACCAAGGACTGGTATGTGCACATGTGTGGACAGTGTTCAGCACCAAGGACAGGAATGTTTTCCCTTGTGTGGATCCAGGTATATTTGGATATGTGTGGATGGTGTTCAGCACCAAGGACAGGCAT